TTCTTCCATATTTTAAAAGGGGGAACAATATCATTCAAAGTTTGCTTTTCAACCTCAATTTTCCTAGCTGCTATTGCTACATCGCTTACTGGGTGACACTCCATCTCTTTTATATTATCTGATATTTCCATCAATACACTCATTTCTGGCATTTCTTTTAGGTGTAATTTAACCTCTGCTATTTTCTCTTCCTTAGAGTCTTTAATTAAGTCTTGCATCTGGTCAAGATAGTAATTTACCTGCGTAAATTTTTCCAACACTGTCATTTGAAAAAAAAGTTTTCCAATCTAGCCATTGATCTGTAATTTTCTCAGGGGGAGGTTCCATTTTTCCAGTATATCTGATCTATATATACAAAATACTCATCAGTTTCCACTATTTTATCCCTCACTTGAAATTCCCTCTCCCCTTTGCCAAAATATATATAATGTGTAGATCAACCTTGAGTCTAATATTTCTAATATTTCACATTACAACTATTACAGTGTTAACAGTAAAATAGCAGGCACACTCAAGCAAGAAATGGAATCTAAAACATGAATCTCTCAAGTGTCTTTGTAGTCCAGTCCCTTTTCTTGTCGCCGACCTCCAGACCGGTTGTTTCTTCTTTTCTCTTCTCAGAGTTTATTTTTACCTTCACCTGGCAAGACTATATTATTAGAATGTCCTTCTCCTCCCCTGAAAAGGGAGGGCCAGCAATCAGTCTCAGCAAATATATTATCCACGGAAACCAGAGTCTCACACAGTCTAAAAATATATATCCAAAGAAGAAAAGGGTCCAAAGTGAACAGCTTACAACAGAATTTATTCTTTCAAAGCCTGTCCAGTGTTAATTCTTCAGGAGTTTTTTTTTCCCTTTAATGGAGACACGAGCTATTTCTGCCTGGCTGTTCCTTTAAAAACAACTCGACCTTCAGCTTGAGTAAAAGCTGGCATGCTAAATAAGCCGCTCCTTATTTCAGTCATAAATTTTCACACAATCACTTGTTCTTCATTTTAATGGGGTTTTTCATAGAACAAGGGCTTCCACTTACTTTGATGTATATTTTCACCGTGCTTCTTGTTTTCTTATTCTCGGCGAATGAGGCTGTTTTGGCTGGTTGCCAAAAATGGCGCCCGTCTTCGGTTTGTGCTTAGTGAATTTCCAGAAGAAAGAAAAATTGAGTTGCTGCCCAATCTTCTAACCTCTGTGGCTCACCATCTGCTGCAGAAGGGTCTCTCCTGACCCTTCCTCGGTTTCCCCCATTTCTAGGGGGGTC